CACCACCACCCGTCAGGGTCATCCTGGCCTTTTGACAGCGCAGAGTGGGCCCCAGGGTACAGGCTGGACTGATGCTGGGCCCCACGGGTGGTTTGTGGTCTATGTCAATGACCCACTGCCAATGGGCTACAGGCATCTGTTCCCAGGGCTGCTCCCCACCTGCTGTGTGACCCTGAGCAAGCCACTCTCCCCCTCTGGGCCTCAGTTCCCCTCTCCATTCCAGGAGCTCTGTGCTAGGGAGCGAGCGAATGGCGAGCAGGAAACGGAGCTGCCAGATTTTCGTTCTCACAGAGGTGTCTTTGGAAAGTCCCAGTGACCCTTGGCTCCTGAAACTCCCCGATAAAGAGATTGTCTGTCGGCAGTAAATCTGCCTGGAGCTTGAGTCTGCCTGGGGCTTGGCCTGAGGCCTATCCGGAAGCAGTTGTGTTCTCTGTATCCAGAGGGTCAAGGCAGAAAGGGACCAGCTCCCCAAAGACTGGGACAGCTGATAGGCAGGCACAGCCCTCGGGGCAATGTCCACACAGGTGGGCAGGGCCATGGGTGGGCAGGGCAGGGTGGTAGCATTGTGTGAATGAAAAATTAGGAAACCAGCAAGGGTGAGATTTCCCCAAGAGCACACAGCAAGTCTGTCAGGTTTGACGTTAGTCTGCCCGGCACACCTGCCGCCAACTTGCCAGCCAGCTCCTTGGCTTCTGGTGCCCAGAGGAAGGGTTTGGAAGAGGCTAGTGACCTGCGTGGAGGGTCAGCCCTGAACCAGGTGCTCTCCCCTGGGTACCGGCGTGCGTGTGGACAAAGCAGAAGGTGAGGGCCATTGGGACTGGCATTGTGGATGCGGGGGTAGATTGGTGGATAGGGGATGGAGTGGGGAAACACAGGGTGGGGTAGAAGAGGGAGGGGAGGGGAGGGGAGGATAAGCCGGGTTCCGTCGTCCCAGACATGTGCTCACCATTTCACACGCTCGATCTCACTCCATCCCACTCACGAGCCCACGACCAACTTAGACGTCAGGAAACCCTTTGACGGACGCAGGAAGCCTGGTGGGGCCAAGGGTCAGCCCAGGGCTGCCAGCTGAAAGGTTGGCGACGTGAACCGGCCTCCCCGCCCTGCAGCAGAAAGGCCTGGCAGTGGGCTCCCATCAAGCTGACAGCATAGAAAACCCCATGGCTGCGTGACAGTCCTCCCGGTCATGTGGGGGCACCATACGTTGTAATCGACTCGATGGCCCCTGAGGAGTCCTGGTTGCCAGTGGTTACGCGTTGGGCTCCTCGCTGCAAGGCCAGCAGTTAGAAACCACCAGCCGCTCCTCCGGAAAAAGATGAGGCTTCCTACACGCCCGTCCACAGGGACCACTGGGAACTCCCTGGGCAGTTCCACTCTGACGTACACACGGGGCTGGGATGAGGCAGTATTGGCTTGATGGCAGTGAGTCTGGTCTTTGGCTTGGACAGTGACAGGCGAGCAGCCCCGCCCACCAGTGTGGCTGGGAGGGCAGTTCTCTGGCTGGCGGTGAAGAGGAAGAGATGGGCACATGTGGGGAGGGGAGCGGAGACGGGAGGGGCTTTCTCTAGTGGACGGAGGGCAGCCTTCAGGGAAAGGTCCGCTTCACCCTGGACCCCGGCAGTTGGAGGAAAGAGGCTGCTGGGCTGCCCTGGGGGGGAGGGGAGGAGGCCTGGGGAAGGTGGGGAAGAGAGATGGGTGGAGGAGGAACCCAGGGGAGACCTATTACGAAAGGCAAGCCCTGCTTGGGGGAGGCAGGAAGCGGCTGGACATGTGGGAGGACGGGGCCCTGGGCAGTGTCAGATGTCAGGAGGAGGGCCGCCCCCGGGCCTAATCGCATCAGGAAGAGAGAGGCTCTCTGGGGTGCTGACTGCGGCTGGCCTGCCGGGAGGCATCTGCCTCAGCAGAAGGATGGAGAGATGGAGGAGGGGAGACCGGGCCCGCCAGGGAACCTGGGTCAGAGCTAGCTTTGTCTGCTGGCGTCCACGGGTAACATGGACAATAGATGTGGTTTGGGTGTCCCAGCCTGGCAGAGGGTCCCCAGGGTTCCTGCTGGGGCTGTGCTGATGGAGAAACCCCAAGGGCGTCCCCTGCCTGTCTCCCCTCTCCCCAGCTACCCTTCAAGCACCCCAGGCCCCTCAGCCCCCGAGTCTGAGCTGGGCCTTTGCCTCCACCATGCAGAAATGCCTGCTCTCTGTCTAGGCAGAACCGGCTCTCGGTGGCCCCACAGCGTTTCCATGTCTGTAAATCTCCGTGGGAGCAGACAGCCTCCTCCTCCTCCTCCCTCACAGTGGCTGGTGGGCTTGAACTGTTGAGTGTTCCGTTAAGTGAAGATTGCTTTCTCCACCTTCAAACCCTTCAAGACCAGCTCTTCACATGCGTGTCTGTCCCCGGGGTCAATGTGGGTGACACCTAGGTGTCCCTGCAGCACTTAGTAGGGCAAACTGCTCGTTCTGGTTTGAGATTTTACCAGGTTACCCCAGATGTACCTGTCATGTACGAACCCGGACCTCAGTGTCCTGAACACGCTGCCAACGCGCTAACTGCAGGCCCCGGTTGAGCATTAGGCATGCCCCAAGCCTCTCCCCTCGCTGTGTGGACTGTCGCGTGGTCGGTGGGCAGGGCGGCGGTGCGAAGGCTCCGCTTCTCATTCCAGCCTGGCCGCTTACTAGCTGAGCAAGTTACTTAGCCTCTCAGAGCCTCTGTTTTCTCATCTGTCAAACGGGGCGATGGTAGCACTTGGAGGATTGTTGTGAGAATTGAGTTCGTACATGGAGCATAGTTAATTTGCAGTTAAACCCTAAGCAGCAGCAGCATGAGTCGAGAACACATCGAAGTTTGTCACGGCTTTTATTGTACTTGTGTCTACAATCGGTGCCAGGAGCAGTCAGGAACAGACGGCATGTTACACTGCTATCTGCTGCTGAACCTCCACCACCCCTAACACCCCCCAAAACCAAAAAACTTTAAAGTGTTAAAAAGTAAATAAAGGTGTCACTTTGGGATCCAAGATGTGCCTGATCCAAGCCACGATCTTTCCGGCTGCGTCTCCACACTTGGAAGCTGAAGAGTTAATGAGGAGGACGAATCGATGTGTGTGAGTTACGGTGTTCACAAAGAATACTGAGGAAACCACAGGCGGCCAGAAGAAGGATCAACCTGTCTTGGAAGTCGGAGAGTCGGAATGCTCCTTAAAAGACAAGGATGGGAGAGTTCTCACGTACTTGGACCAGCCAGTTCCTGAGGAAACACATGACGCTTGGTAAAGCAGAGGGTCCAGAGCAAACGAGGAAGACCGTCGTTGCGGTGGCTGATGCCGTGGCTGACGCCGTGGCTGACGCAGTGTGCTAGCACCGGACAGCTTGGGAGGAAGACGCAGGAATGGCTGGTGCTTGTCGCTACGCATCAGAACCAGCGGTGTCACCTGGCAGTCGCAACAAGACGCAATACAAGTGTCAGCTACGATTTGTTCTTTGCTCTGCCGCCTGAATGGATGAAGGGTGAAGAAATAGTGACATGGCCCCGGATTACATTACCCGGTAGGGAACCCCTAGCCACATGTGGCTTTAACCTTGAGTCAGTGAAAATGAAATCAGACTTTGAAATTCAGCTCCTCGGACGCAGCTGCCTCATTTCCAGCGCCGATAGGAGAAAGACGTGGTAGCTTGCTTATGTGAATCATTGAGTGGATTTCCCGCTCCTGGGGATCCTACAGGATAGGGCCCAGCTGCCCCCGATGGCCTCCCAAGACTGTTAATTTTTATGGGAGAGAAAGCCTCATCTTCCTCCCGTAGAGCGGCTGATGGTTTCAAACTGCTGACCTGGGGGTTCCAGCCCAGTGGGTCACCCACTCCACCGCCAGGTTCCGTACTGTGCCACTCCAACCAAACCAAACTCCCTGCCCCCACCCGCGGGCACCGGGTAGAGCTGCCCCTGTGCGTTTCAGACACCCTGACTCTAGCTATGCCACTCAAGCTCTTAAAAAGATAAACACTCTTACTAAGGATATTTTAATAACTGTATCACCTTCTCGCCTAAACACAATGTTTGACAATTATTTTATATCCTCAGCTCTCCATCAACACTCACCGTTCTGTTTGCTTCGTAAAAGCAGGCGGTTTGTTTGACTCTGGGTCCAAACCAGGCCCACATGTACACTGGTTGTTCTGTCTCTTATCTCGGGGGACAGCTTCGACCGAGAGCAGGGGTCCACACGCTCTGAGATGGAGGAGCCAGTCCCGACCCTCACAACAATTTAAAAATGATTCGAGAGCCAGAAGAAATGTTTTTACATCGTGATCTGAAGAATATCCTTTAGATTTTTTTTTTCCAGTTTTATCTCAGCGCCACGTGTATGTACCGATAGAACCGCATATGGCTCTAGAGCCAGTTTGCCGGCCCCTGGTCTCGATGGAGGAGCCCTGGTGGTTACACGCTGGGCTGCGAGCCGTGGGGCCGACCGTTGGAAACCACCTGGCGGCTCTGCAGGAGGAAGACTGGGCTTCCCACTCCGTAGAAAGGGACTCCGGTGACCGTCTTGGGAGCCCCGTGGGGCACTGTGAGTCAGCCTTGACTGGACGGCAGTGAGTTTGGTTAGGGTAGTGTGCCAACCACGTGGCATGGTGTCATGGCCCATCCTCATCGCCCGTGTGAGGGTAGGTAGATCTAGATGCTCGATCCCGTTGGGTCATTTTTAAAAACAAGTTCCCAAGTGCTGCCTTCTTCCTAGTGCCTTGCATGAATCCGTTGGTTTTGGTCTGGCAGTCGAGGGTCTCAACCGCTTGCACCGTCGGGAACTCGGCCCTGTCATAGCGGGCACGCCTACGATCCGGTTGCCTCTTTGACTCACCCTCAGGTTGGCCGGCGGGTGAGAGCACTACCAGCCTGGCCGCTGCGTTCCAACCGAGAACACAGAACACACCACGTTGCCTCAGGTGGACTCTGCCTCTGGCCACCCTGCGTGTGACGGAGGAGTGGTTTTCGGGGCTGTGATTCTTTACAGGACCAGACTGCCCAGCATTTCTCCCACAACCCAAGAAGTGGATCTCAACCGCCAACCTCAGGTTCGTAGGGAGGCGCAGACCCCTTGTGCCACCTGGGCATCTGACCCTGGGGTCTCATAAAAGCAGGTTGCTGAGCCCACCCACCGACGGAGCAGATTCAGGAAGTCTGGGGTCGAGAGACGTGGCAGTCTGCTTTCAGGACACCTGCAGCCTTGGAAACCCTGTGGGCAGTTCTGCTCTGTCCCGGAGGATCGGCTCTACTGCAGCAGGCTTGGTAGCGTCGGGCGTTCCCATTTCTAACAAGTTCCTGGGTGGTGCTGATGTCTGCTCAGGGACCGCCCTTGGAGAACCACTGTATTACACCCATGATAATAAAGGGAACCTCTCCGTCTTGCACCTAATGCATGTTGAATCTCCTGGGGAGCTTAAAGGCATCGGTGCCCAGGTCCCACGCCCAGTGGTTCTGACTTCAGTGATTCTAATGTGCAATCAAAGTTCCAGACCGCTGCCCTAATGGCTTTGCCAGCCCGCCGGGCCACTGGGATCTGGGCTCATGCCTCTTTCTTACCTGTTGTACCGTCTCAGCTTTTCCTGGGAGGTAAACATGGGGGAGGTGGGAGCGGAATTATTCATCTCTGAGTCCCTGCCACAGGCCCTGCCCAGAATAAGCACAGAACAAATAACTGGGTGAAGGTCAGGGAGTGCATGAAAGCTCAGCCACCCCGCTTTATACACCATCCTGGGCTTTCCACCTTGACATCTGTGCGCTGGTTCAGGATGTTGGCCCTGTAAGAAGTCGCTTCTAGAGCCTGCTTCCCCAGGCAGGTAGAGTCAGGGAGACTGGGGACTTAGAATGGAATTGCTGCATGTACGTCAAGCGTAGAGTACGTGTTTGCTGGGGACCTCCGTGGTAGGGTGGCTTTCCTGGGTTTAGTGCTGAAAGCCCGACATCCTGGGTATCACCACAAACGGGGCATTTGGGCCCCCTCAAAATGCATTGCCCTGGAGTAGATGCTGACTTGTAGCGCCCCTGCAGGACAGGGTAGACCTGCTCCTGTGAGTTTCTGAGGCTGGAATGTTCTACAGGAGTAGAAAGCCCAGTCTCGCTCCCCAGGAGCTGAGGCTGGTGGTTTCAAACTCATGACCTTGTGGTTAGCAGCCCAACTGGGCCACGGGTTCCTTGGTCCCCTAGTTCTGTGAGGGGGGAAAGAAATGACTTGTGGGGTGGGACCCTGAGGCCCAGACGGGCACCTCTTTGGACCCTGCCGCTGCCTGGTGGAATGGAAACATGTGCTGTGTCAGAGTGACTCAGGGCCTGGCCTCCCATTCACAGGGGTCCAGGCCATTGTCTCTGCCCTTAAATGCCTTTGAAAGTTGTAGTGAAAGCATTGATGTGCTGCCCCTATGGTGCTGGGGAAGGCTACTGGACACGCCCTAGACTGTCGAAAGAATGAGTCCTCCGGGCTCCGTAGGTCTGCAACCGGAATGTTCCTTAGAAGTGAGAGTGGTGATGCTCACCAGCTCGCCGTGGACGGCAGGAGAGATGCTCCACAGCGACCAGAGGACAACGGAGGAGACCCTCCCTCGTGAGGTGACTGACACACAGCAAGGCTGTGGAAGCTGCGGACCCCCTGTCGTGCTGAGCACACAGCCGCAGGCAGGCTTCTTCCTGTTTACTGAAGATTGCCCGGAGTCCAGTCTGAAAAGCAGTGACCAGGCTCCGAAGAGTGGATTCCAACGCAGTCTGAACCGTGCTCCCAGTAGGATTTCCAGCGACTGGGTTGCTGTTAGCAGGAAGTCTTCCTCTGAACGCCTCTGAATGGGCTCCACCGGCCAGCCTTTGACTCCAAGCGGGCCCTGCATTCCTGAGTGCAGGGTTGCACTCTGCTAACCCCCTGGGGGGGGATCAGAGACCACCGATAAGGATTCAGGATGAATTAGAAGGAACTTCCTGGTCAAGTTTGGGTCCAAGGCCAAACCATCAAATTCACTGCCATGGAGTTGATTCCAAGCCTGCAGGACAGCTGAAACTGCCTTTGTGGATTTCTGAGACTGTCACTCTCTATGGCAGTAGAGAGCCTTATCTTCCTCCCACGACCTTGCGGGTTCGCAGCCCAGAGTATAATCACTGCGCCACCAGGGCTCCCAGGGTTCAAGGCCATGGCGATGGGATAATCCAAGGAGGGGCCCCCCCACAATGAGCTGTTTATTCTGTCAGTTCTGCATGCTCGCTTCGGCAGCACGTATACTAACATTGGACCGATATGCTGTCAATTCTTCGTCTTCCTGTATCACCTTCAAACAGAGTACTTTCAGCAGTAGCCTTGCCTTCTTGAACACCTGGGAAATGTGTGGTTGTCACCTCCGTCTGTTTACCTGTGGTCATGACAGGAAGGGGTTTGCCTGGGGTGACTCTCTCACCAGCATTTACCGTGTCCATGTGAGCATGTTTTAAGACAGAGAAGAAACAAAACAAAACCGCAAATGCTAGTGTGTGGAACCACGCACAGACACAGACAGGGACGAGGGCAGGCCGCCGAGCCAGCCCCACCGCCCACCCCTCCCATCGGCCCCAAGACCAAGGCATATACTTTCATTCAGTCCCTGGGGCCACGCTCCAGTGCCACACCCAGCTGGGGTTCGGCTCCAGCTCCCCTGCAGCTAACCCTTGTCCCCCGGGGGGATTCAGGGCTGGGCAGGGGCAGGAGCTTTGTGGGCACAGAGCCGCCCAGCCCCGCTCTCCCCTGGCTCTCACTCTTGCCCACACTCACGCTTCTCCCCTTTCCCTGTCTGTCTGAGGACAGGACTCACTGCGGGCTCCCCCTCCACTGCTCTCTGAACCGCAGACACTTCCTCAGGTCCCTTCCGTGAACCTCCACCTTTGTTTCCCCTCCTTGGGGATGGGGTCCCAGCCTGCACAGCGGCAGACTGGGAAGGGCAGGGCGGGGCAGCCCTCGGTACCACTGTAGGGCATGAAGGAATCAATGCAGTGAGGCACTGAGCCCAGAGATGACTAAATCCTTTCACAGCCTAATCCTGTGGCCTCGGGCCTGAGAAGCAAGCATGGCACGGAAGCAGGGAAAGCAGTGCCACCCACTGCCACCTGCCCTGTGCCTAGCCTGGTGTGCCACACCTGAGAAGCCCTGCTGTAACTTTGATGTGGTCCCAGCCTGATGGGACGGGGCAGGATGGGACGGGACAAGGGGCATGGACGAGCCTGGCCCCGGCCCGCTGTCCTGGCCCAGCCCCTGGGCGAGGGCCCCACAGCACCAAGGGCCGCCATCCACATTTCCAGGCAAGTGCTTGCTTGTGGGGCAGAGGAAATCTGCTCCCAGGTCGCTGAATCATGAAACTCACACAAACACAATGCACCTGCATGCAGACGCAACACAGAGGAGTCACGTGCTGCACACACACATACACAGGTACCGGTGCATATGCAGCCACCATGCACACGGCAGCTGTGTGCAGCGCACAAGCTCTACCTGAGTGTATGTGTGCACACACACTCACACTGTGCACAACGGGAGAGGAGGCCTTGCCAGGTGCCGCCCCACCACCCACCACCCACACTCCCCACTGCAGCAATTCCTTTCCTAGTCTGGGAGAACCTTGACCCATGGAGATAAAGCTCTGGGTTGGGCAGGGAGAGGAGGGGTGTGGGGAGGGACGGGAGGAAGGCCGTGATGTTCCTGCTACTCTATCCCAAGGCCAACAGCTCCCTTTGAGAGGCGTTAGCTTCCCAGGGGCCTCATGTTCTGTAAAGCGGGGGTGAAAATGATTGTGACACTTCCTGACACCTCCCCTGCAGGGCCCAGTGGGGGCGGAAAGAGCTGGCATGTCTGCAGTCCTGTCCCTGTAGGGAGCTGGGCTCAGCTCCCAGCTCCACCACTGCCTGACCAGCTCTGGATGTGCCTCCACGCTGCACGTGATGTCATGGTTGGGAGCAGTGGCCAGGGAGCACATCCCTGAGAAGTTGGCACCTGGAAAGTCCTTGGGACCCCTCTGGCACCTAGCACTTTCCCACAAACCGGGAGGGACTGTGAGCTAGGCAGGAGCTGTGGCAGGCCTGGCCGGAGCCGACCCTCAGAGGTGCGGCAGAGCCCCCGGGCCCCACAGGTGCACAGACAGGTTGTGGAAAGAGCTGGGAGTATTTGTGATGTGATCATGCACGCGCTGAGGGCACTCAGACATGAAGCCTAGCTGGCCCCCTCCCTCGTTAGTATCTCACGATGTCTTCCTTCCCTCCATGCCCCAAACCCTGCTCCCTCTCACCTGTTCTCACCTGGCCACTGCCAGCCAGTAGCCAGAGGAATCTACCTTCCAGTGCAATATGGCCCTGGTTTCAACCTTCAGTAGTTCCCCACTGCCCTCGGTGTCCAAGTGGAGCCCTGGTGGTGTAGTGGCTACCCGTTGGGCTGCGACCTGAATGGTCAGCAGTTCAAAACCACCAGCAGCTCAGCGGGAGAAAGATCGGGCTCTCTACTCCCATAAGAGTTACAGTCTTCACCCCCCACTATCATGACCCCAGTCCTGCCTATCACTGCAGGCTAGGCTGGAGCATGTACACAGGTACAGATAAGAGCTCAGAACACACAGAATCCAGCTCAGATAAACCCCTTAGGAACAAAAATAGGAGTAGCGATTCCAGGAGGGTAGGGGGAAGTGGGTAGAGAAGGGTAGGAAGAAACCGAGGGGGAAAGGAGACAGCAGTTGGTGTAAGATATGAAAACAATAATAATTTACAATTTATCAAGGGGTCACGGGGGTGGGAGAGGAGTGGGAGGGTAAAAAAGAGAAGCTGATACCAAGGACTCAAATAGAATGTAAATGTTTAGAAAATAATGATGGAAACCTATGTACAACTATACTTGATACAATGGATGCATGGATTGTTATGAGCCCCCAATCAAATGATCTTTTAAAAAAAAAGAGTTACAGTCTTGGAAACCCACAGGGGTCTCGATGAGTCAGCCTTGACCAGGTGGCAGTGATTTGTTTTTTAAGGTGGCCTGGGTCTTAGCTTCTCCTCCCCTCTGTCCCCTCCAGGTCCCCTGGGCTCCGGCCACACAAGCACTGGCAGCCGCTTGTTAATGGTCATGGTGTTGGAGCCTGCAGGAACCTGATGGGGCAGCATAGTTGTCAGGATGGGGGCTGTGCTGTGTGACAAATCACCCACTCTCAGTAGTCCACCCTGTTTGTCTCTGTCCCAGCTAGACTTGGTGTCCACTCCCCCTGGGGCCCAGGGAGATGGAGACTCCACTGTTTGAAACATGTGGCTGTCTCTCTCTTCAACCAAGGGCGCGAATGCCCGAGGGTTGTAGGCAGGCCTTAATGCTTTAGCTCAGAAGTCACTGTTGTGACAAGTTTCCACCCTTGACCTGGGCCCTTCAATGTGCAGCTCCAGTGCCTCTTCCTTTGAGAAATCCCTCCCACCTCAGTACAACACCCCTCTATACAAGTTTCCATTACCGCCCACAGTGCACTGGGCCCCAGAGACCCAGACTCCCTAGTGACCTCTCCCACACGACTCTGCCTCTGTAGGACTGGGGGGAGCCCATCAGGGCTGGCCGGGGCCTACTCCTACGGCCGTGCTCAGAGCACGTTGACCGGTCATCCACAGCGCCAGAAGCCAAGAGCCGCCGGTGGTCAAGTTGTCAGCCAGACGCCGTGAGACAGACACGCATCTTTCAGTGTCTGTGAGGCAGACCCTTGGCGTCTATCGATAAAGAAACGGAGGCTGCTCGTGTTAAGTCCCTGACCCACACGGCTGGGCAGAGGCAGGGCTGGCATCCAGCCCAGGCTGGCTGGCTCCAGAGAGCACCCTGTAATGTCTGTGCTGCTGGGAGGGGTCTCTGGGCCTTCCGGCAAGAGCCGGTAGGGACAGGGTGTGTGATGAGTTCTCTTGGTGTCTACGTGCACACTTGAAGGGAGAAAAGGCCTTGGACAGCAGCAAACAGATGACCAGTGATGACACCCCACCCCACCCTGTCTCACTTGGGCTGTAGAAACAGGTTCGGGTACCGGCCATTTGAGCAGGCGCCTTCCAGGGCCCCATCCCTGTCCCCTGCCTGGGTTGACCTTGTGTGTACCCGCACAGTGGGGTCCCAAGCACTGAGCCTCACGGCCCAGCCCTCTCTCGCCTCTCACAGATGTCATGGCACCCCCAGTACCGGAGCTCCAAGTTCCGCCACGTCTTTGGCAAGGCAGCCAGCAAGGAGAACTGCTTCGACGCTGTGCCCATCACCCGCAGCGTCCACGACAACCACTTCTGCGCCGTGAACCCCCACTTCATCGCCGTGGTGACTGAGTGCGCCGGAGGAGGGGCCTTCCTCGTCATCCCCCTGCACCAGGTACGTTGCCGAGGAGCCCCCACAGGCACAGGGAAGCTGGATGGAGCCTGGGATGTTAGCGCTATACGCGGGGG